CATCAGAGGAAGAGGAAACCTTTGAATTTGACAGTGATGATGATGAGGAACACATCCCTCTGTGTGTTCGATAAGTTCATAAGCAGAACTTGTCTTTCATGAAAATTATTTTCTTTTCTCATTGCTTTTTCTGTTCAATTAGGCCTGTTGATGCCATTCAGCAGAAGTTGTGTTTAGATGCTCTTCAAGCCATCAGCATGGAGGACACTGTGCATGACATTCTAGACACAGAGTCAATGGAATCTCAACCGGCACCAGAAGTAATTAAAGTCCAGTGTGAGGATGACATCGTTGAACATCTTGCAGCCATAACTTATCACACATGTTTAAAACAACTTGCTGAGTATCTGTTGCTGCCAATCCCCGTGTGCACAGAGAAAGACCCACTGACATTAGTAGAATGTCAGGCCCCTGGACCATTCCAGATCCTTATCAAATCCAGAGGAACGGGTGTCATCATGACATGGGTAAGTTTATTTACTGCTCTGTAGTAACTTCATCATCATAACAGTTAAAATATAATGTTAAATGTTTTTATGAATATGTTTTCCAGATCTGTCGTAACAATCACTGTGTGTGGCAGTGGAACTCACAGCCTTCTTTCAAGTATGGGATGCAAGCTGGGGACTTCCTTTTGGCATCAAACATAATCCTGTCTGGCAACAACTATAACAAAATTGCATTGCTCTTCAAGTTTATGAATATGCGAGTAGTGGATCGGTGTACATTTTTTAAAATACAGGACACATATTGTGTAGATATCATCAAAAAGTTTTGGGACCAAAAAAGAGCTGAAGTTGTTTCCAGACTGCAGTCAAAGGACAATGTTGTAGTACTTGGTGAGTACAATGTTCAGTTATAACACACCAGACAATTTCCACATGCATCTCAGCCAACACTGTCTCCACATTTGAAAAGAAATCTAACTTTCTTTTGCAACTGTTCCTTTTTATAGCTGATGGGCGTATGGACAGTCCTGGGTTTTGTGCTCAGTACTGCACCTACAC